CTGCTTGAGGTAGGAATGAATGGTGCCACGAACCAACGCCGCTAAGAGTGATTATGCCTTAAAGGCTAAAAATTCGTATCTTCTATTCGCAGCTCCAGGCGACGAAGCAGCTATCGGCTAAGGAGCGGGCGCCACTACCGAAACCAGCAGTCGCAAGGTTTTTTGAGCTCTTTGGACCCTTCTATCTGGAGGTAATCAACACACTACCGGTGAGGGCAGAGAAGGCTTAGTGGGATGGAATTGATATTAGCCTAATCCAAACGATGAGAAAGAGGGATACTTGCGCCAATAAATGTTTTAAAAAGAGGGTAAATTACAAAGACCGCTCCTGTACTATTAGGTCTGTGACAAAGACCCCTGTACTTTGTTTTGCGATAAAGACCTCTATATTATGACCGTGAGACAAAGACTCTTTCCATTAGCATTTCATTTAAAATCTGTCATTGCAATTTTATTTAATCCCCATATTACTTTTAAAATAACATTTCAGACACTTTTAACCCTCTTTCAATCTATATGTTTTCTCACCTCCTTCAATAAGGGATGACCAAGCTTCTTCTTGATCACCAAGCTCTAAATTACAGTATCAAGGGATTTCTTCCTTGCGAGTTTCAGCCACACAGGATTTCTCCCTCACAAGTTTCAGTCGCAAGCTCCTACTTCGGTGAGTGATCAATATCAGGGGTTATCCCTTAATTTTAAGAGCAATGAATCACCGTTTTCTAAGAGTCGAGGGATTATATCAAGTCGTTGTTGTTTTATGCGTTAAAGCATCTCACTCTCCAAGGCACGAACTTGATCCAAAATATACACAATCTGCAAAGGAATTTCAATAAGCAGGATTATTAACTCAGACCTGCAACTACAAGCAACAAAGGACTGAACTATGTTTCTCTTATATGAACATACTTCGCCTCCACATTATTGTTGGCAAAGTAACCATGGGGTGAAAGGATAACAACATTGAAGACCACAGGGATTTTCCCAAGAAATTTCTCTAGGGTACATGGATCAGGTGCCTCAAGAAACCCCAACAGAAGACTTATCATCTTTAATACACGTTCAACAGTGTCACCCCACCCCTTCTCCAGACCAAGCTCCTGGAACTTGTGATCAAACTCTCTGAATATGGCATATCTGGAGCAACTGTGGAGAGATATTCCATTGCCTTCCTCAAAACAGACTGGAGAGTATTGAAGTTCTGGATTCTGTCATTCAGCATCATTGTCTGCAGAAAACCATTAAACATTAATAACGAAAGAGCTAAAAGATTTCTCTAATTTTAAATCTGAAAACTTGTTGGTCAATAGGAGAGATGATCTAGGCTATTATTTCCCCCTGTAATGGTGGACTCGGAGGAAATCAAGAAAACTGATAAAGCAATGGAAGACCTTCAGTGAAACTGATCCAAAGAGATGGTTTAGAAAGATCTGATGAAGAAGCTCAAATATCAGAGTTGCTGAAAAACAATTTAAGTCAATATTCCCTTTTAGCTCTTGCCTTCAACATTTTCTCTCCTGGGTTGCTTCGTCACCGAACCAGAGAGAGAGAGAACCCAATCATAAGAGGAAAATTGAAATGAAACCCTAGATCTTCAAAATTGAAGAATCTAATGTTCGGTTCAAGATTTCTCCAAGGTTTACATACAATAAACCTTCAGTTGAGTAGAGACAACGAAAAAATAAGATTTTTCCCCCTGCAAAAATGAAAAGAGGCCTTCTTCTCTGCTAACGGCGAAAACATATCTTCTTCTCCGGCAATGGCGATCTTCTTCTCTGGCGATGGTAACAAGATCTTTTCTGACGACAATGACAATCGCTTTCCTCTACATTCGGTGTGGCATTGGTGCAATCTCCGACAGAGGACACTGGGATGTATTCCACGAAAGGTTTCGATTGGGTTTCAGGAAGTGTTTAGGGTTTCAGGCAGAGTTTTACATGAGGTCTAGGTGTATTTTCAATATTTTGAAAATGTGAATTCGAGTTATGGAGGGTATTTTTGTAAAATGACATTTTCTGTTAGTCGAGTTAACGGGGAAGGGGGTCTTTGTCTCACAATCATATAAGGGGGTCTTTGTCGCAAAACAAAGTACAGGGGTGTCTTTGTCATAAACCCCATAGTACAGGGGGATCTTTGTAATTTACCCTAAAAAGAAAAAATCCGTATTTACTCCAAACATAACGCACCTCACACCAACCTCACAATACATTCAGCCATCCATTTGGAATATCATTTCATAGCAACATACAATTACGGAAGATGTTTTTAAGGTTGTATTTGGAATCGATGTAAAAGTTTACATTGATTCGATTTTTTCTGTGTTTGGAAGGAGAGTGTAATCATGATTGACATAAAATCCCACTCCATTTCAGTTTTGCGTATGTTWGGATGGAGTGGAGTTTTACGTCAATAATCAATGTAAAACCTATTAAGTGTAAAATTTTACATCGACTATCGATGTAAATATCACATTGATTTTATCGATAAAAAAACTTTACACTCTTCACCCATTGCGTTTTTCAAAAAGCAATGGTCACTTTTATGGTTTAGTGTACACCAATGACGATTTACACTGATTCCAAATGCAGTCTAATGCACGATTGTGATGGGCTCCTAAGGTTGGTGTGAGACGCACTCTATAGGAGAAAATTCATTTTCTTTTAAAAATTTGAAGAATAATAAAGGATAAAATAGACATTTTAGTCTATATCTATCCATGTTTACCAACAAATCTGGAGTGCATTGGGGAGTGATGGGCTGTAAGCTTGTGAGGTAGGGCAAGGTTCAAAGTATCAACATGTATCAGCCCATATCGGTCAATACGTATTGTATTGGGAGCACCCCGATATGCCCATATAGAGGGTATATCGGAGTTTTGACCGGTTTAGGGGATGGAGGAGCCTTAAACCGGCCCCCTAAACCGGTTTGAAAAAAATTAAAAAAAAAAGGTCCAATACTGCCTGATACACCCCTACCAGTGTATCAAGCATATCGATATTTTGAACCTTGAGGTAGGGATAAGTCAAATAATTGACTCATCTCAAAAAGTTCACAAGCCTAATCAAATTCATAGTAAAATATTATTTTTTAATATTTGTATTTATAAATAAATAGACATTAATTAGCATTAACTTATTCATAATATAAATAAATAAATAAGTAAATTGCATATTTATACCCTATACTTTGGGGCCAGTCTCACTTTAGTATCCAAACTTCAAAACATACCACTACAGTACCTGAACTCCAGAAAATTGTCAGTTTAGTCCAAAATCGTTAAGTAACGTTAAATGGCATGTAAAATGATGAATCATCATCATCAGAAATAAGAAGTAGTAAAAAGATACTTTGACCTAGGATTGGGTATAGGTTCTTCTTATAAGGACCCAAACTTGTTCACCACAAATAGTCTCCGTAGCGAGGAAGAACATTAAATAAACTTACAACAAACTTCTTTTTTCTTTATTAGCAATTTCATGTTTATTCTTTCCCTTCTTTAAATTATTTTCCTGAATTCACATGAGTATTTGTACCATTTGGGGTCTTCGTTAAATTGAATATTTTTCTTTTTAATCCTAGGGCTAGATGCTTTTTGTCTACAAAAATTTGTTATATACTTAATATTGTTTTAAAAATTAGGATTTTAATTCGATTTCAGATTGAATTAATTAATTAAAAGGTTGAAATCATAAAAATAACACCCCCATCAGTTCTAGTCTCAAAATTAAATAAATACGTAGAATTAATACACAAAAATAAAAACAAATAACAAAAGAAAAAGTTGCAAAGAGCTCTATTCAACACAAGACAGGGACGTTTGCGAGGAATTTGCCTTTAAAAATTCTGTTCTCGTTTCCATCAAATGGGCCAAACAACAACCGCTTTCTTATATACTTGTCGAGTTGTTTCTTTCGGGCATCATTTTCTTTTTGGTAACTTATTTATCCGGGTAAATACAGTTACTTAGATAAGTTTTTTCTTGGAAAACACTTATCCGGGTAAGTGCACTTATCGATGTTCTTTTATTTCTCATGTAAATAATACAATTACCATTTTAGCCATAAAAATCCATTATTAAAACGGACATTTTTGTCCCATTCAAGTGTTGGCAACTTTTCCCGGTAGGAAAGTTAATTTACCCACCTAAGAGATGGTCAGGTAAGTGATACACAAGAAAAAAAGCTTTCCCTAATCTCTACATAAATTTGAAAAAAGAACATGGGATTCTTGGTCAATGGGAACCAAAATCCCATTGACCAACTTCCCCCCCTCAAAATCTGAAAAAAGAGCACCCCTCAATCGCATTATCTTGAATTGGGATTTGCTCAATATAGAGCACTCTTCACAATGACCTCTTCGAGCTCGACTCGTGAAAAGTTTGGCTCGGTTCGGTTTCAATCGAGTCGAGCTCACGCCTAACAAAGCTCGGCTCGTAAGGCTCGCGAGCCAAGTTCAAATAGCTACATAATAATAATAATAATAATAATAATAATAATAATAATAATAATAATAATATAAAATTATAGGAGATAACATATAATATTATAATTCTTAATTTTTTAAATATCAAACAAAAAATATTATACATATATATTTTTTATTTTTATAAAACATTTTTTCTCAAATYGACATTGAGCTGAGCCAAGCTCGAACTTACGAGCCTTTGACTCGAGCCGAGCTTGAGCTCAAGGTTCTAGCTCAAACCAAGCTCAAACATCGTACTATTTTGGTGAGCCAAACTCGAATATTTTTATAAGTGCGGGAGATGTACGAAAGATGTACCTAATATCTAACTAGAGCCTAGGACATACTATGAAGTCAGTGTGAGGAGCAAATATGGACTCCTGTTCTCTTCATTCAATGTCCAAACTTCAATGAAAATATGAAGAAAACCCAAACTTTTAACATTTTAAAGAAAATAGTAAAATGATATAAAAATATAAAAAAGGATAGTTTTGACTTTTTCAAAAATTTAAGTCTCATACTTCATCACATCATACAAATAACCGATGGTGTAAAGTGGGTTGTGTCGGGCTGTGGGTAGCCCGCTAAGGCAAGCCGTCACGGGCTGTGCCTTCCTCCCGGGTGGAAATTTTGGGGGTCGGCCCTGCACGGCCCACGGCCCACGGCCCAAGCCTAGGCGGGCCCATGCCATGTTGTATCGTGTTGCGGGCCTGGGCCAGGCCGGACCATAGGGTAGGCCTTGGGCCTGGGCCGAACCGGGCTGCATTGTTTTTTTTTTTTTAATTTTTTTTATTTTGATTTATTTTCTAAGTAAAATCGTAAAACTAAAATATTTAACTTTCCTTTGAACTTTGGGAATTGGGAACTATTTAAAAAATTAAGAAATGAAAAATCTAAGTTATCTAACATATAAATGAAAAAAAAAAACTTAACCAAATTGAAATAAGAATGATGAAATAACAAATTGGAAGAAAAATAGGAATTTTATTTCATTTAAATTTGAATGGTACAAATTACAAATACAATGATTGTATCATTGGATACTTGGATGAGTGAAATATGAAAATGGAATAAATTAATAAAATATAAAAATACAATATGGTTACAATTTGAAAATACAAAATTACGTTGTTAAAAAATTAAAAAAATATATCAAATAAATTAAATGAAATTAAAAAAAATTACAATATTTTGAAAAAATAAAAAATTCTATACAAATAGTCAAATTCATGAATCATCATTCATGGCTTTCATCATCTGCTTCAAGTGAAATATCCGGTATAGTATCATGCCCTCCTTTGTCTTGTAATCTATCTTCTGCATCTAGCCAATCCTTAAAGCAAATGCACATCTCTATGCTTTCATCGTTCATGCAACTTCTTTTGTCATCGAGCATCTTGGTACCTACACTAAAACAAGACTTCAATGGAACTGTAGACACCAAAGGGGTTAGTAAATCACGTGCCATGGAAGTGAGAACTAGATCATTTTTCGAATGTTCACTCCACTAGGCTAAAATATCAAAATTATTTGATCATTCACCTAAATTAGAAAAATTTGTTTGTAAATAAAAATTAAGTTCAATAAATGAACTTGTTGTAGAACTAGCAGATTTCTACCTTCTACTTATTAAATAAAAAAATTTTTCTTATACTATTGGGCTCAAGATCAGAAGTAAAAGAAGATGATGAACAAGCTACAACTTCATATTCATACAAACTGTACATTTCAAATACTAAATTATTAATTTCTTATTTTTTATTTCCTATATCATTATTCATATTTTCACAATATGATTCAAGTAAAATATCTAAACCATCATTCCTAATCCTAGTGTTTAGTATTGTAGCTAAACAATAAATGGGAGAAATGTTCTCCCAATATTTTTTAATTTATTTTCCACTATTTCAACAATACATTGAAATTGTGGATTATTTCTATATTTTGCAAAACAATCACTAATTACCATTAATTGATAAGGTAAATTACAACTAGTTGGATAATAAATTCCAGATAATTCATTAGTTGCATCATAAAAATGTTTT